TGGGCACAAGAATTAAACAGAATTCTCAAGGGAAGAGGTACAAATGGGTAAATACGTGAAGAAGTATTCAACTTCCCTGGCTATAAAAGAGATGGAAATTTAAAAAAAACACTTAGATTTCATCTCACCCCAGTTAGATTGCCCATAATCAAGGGTAATAACAACAACAAATGCTGGCAAGGATGCAGCATGACAGTAACCCTTTGGTGGGAATGCAAATCAGTACAATCATTATGGAAAGCAGTACAGAGATTCCTCAAAAAGTTAAAGATAGACCTGTCATATGATCTAGTGATATGGCTCCTGGGCATCTACCCAAAGGATTGTAAGTCAGGATACAATAGACACACCTGTACACGGATATTCATTACAGCACTATTCACAATAGCCAGGTGCCCTACAACTGATGAATGGATCAAGAAAATGTGGTAAATATACACAGTGGAGTTTTACTGAGCCATAAGGAATAATGACATGGTTTGAAGGTAAATGGATGCATTTGGAGAACATCATGTTAAGTGAGGTAAGCCAGGCTCAGAAAAACAAAGACCACATGTTTTCTCTCATATGTGGGAGATAGATCCAGAAGATAAACCTGTACACAAAAACAAGTGTGATCATATACAAACTCATATATAGAACATGTTTGCAATAGTGGATCTACTCTAAAGGAAAAGAGAATGATAGAGCATCAGTTACATCATAAAGCATAACATCTGTGAAGGTAGAGAATATCCAGATATGTATTGAAAAATGGTGGGGGAAGGTAAAGGGGTAAAGGAGAGCAATGGAAAGGGTTAAATGGACAAAAGTAAAGTATACCTACAGCGGGGATATATTGAGGAACCCCTTTGAACATCAACTCAAATATTAATCATGAAAAACAGGACTGTAAAATAGGTACAGTGCATATGTGTGTGTGGGTACAAATGGGAGAGGGGAGGGTGAATGAAGATTAAGGTAAGGTATATGGCTGATAGATTTCACCTATATGAAATAGAACAAAGAAACCTTGAAATAGTTTTTAAATGGGGAGGGGAGGAAGGTCGTAGGACAGATGATGGGGAAATGAAACTTATGTACAACATAAGCCTAATCAGAATTGTCATTATGAATCCTCTCATTAATAATGATTATATCATAATAAAAATTTAAAAAAGAAAATGTATTTATATGCAATGGAATTTTATTTAACCATAAAGAAAAATGAAATTTTGTCATTTGTAGGTAAATGGATGGAATTGAAGACCATCACCTTAAGTGAAGTTAGCCAGGTTCAGAAAACAAAGGCCACATGTTTTCTCTCATGTGGAATATAGACCTAACATGAATACAAGCAATATTACGAAAAACAAGTCACACTAAGGGGACATCACATACAAGAGGGGGAGAGTAAAAGAAGGAAGGTGAATATAGTTGTACTTCCTATGCAAGAATGAATATAGAATTTTTAAACCTGTTGATTCACCATAAGAAGGAGTCTAAGGCAGAAAGAAGAAAAACAGAGATGAACCAATTCAGGTTATAATACATATATACATGTAAATATCACAAGAAAACTCCCTGTATAGCTATTTTAAAAAAAAGTTTTTTTTTTTACAAAATTGGAGAACAGGAGGGCAGAACAGGTCCTGTCTGGGGGTTGGTACCAGTGGGAGGAGAAAGGGTGTAAGAGGGTGAATATGATGCAAATACTGTATACACATATATGTGAATGGAAAAATGAGACCTATTGAAACTATTCCAGGAATTGGGGGAGATAAAGGAGAATGATGGAGAGGGTGAATTCAAGTATGATATATTTGATATATTGTAAGAACTTTTGTAAATGTCATAATGTACCCCCCAGCACTACAATAATTAAAAAATTACAAGTCCTTGTGTAAGGGGACCAATGACAGAGGTGACTCCATTTTGGATTAGAGAGGCACTTTAAAAACAGACATCTATCTAAAGTGCATGGGGAACAACAGGTTTCTCAGAGGAATAACAAGCCTCTCACTAAAATATCAAAATGCAGCTGCACAATATGGGTAGTGGACTCCAAGTCCAGGACAAGCTGACCAGACCTTCTTGGAATGCTCAGTTTGATAAGGAGAAGGATGTGCCAACCAATCACAAATGTAGTTTCAAGGTAGAATAGTTGGACCTAAGCCAGTTAGTGCCCTATATCATCTAGACTTCAGCCTTTTGTTTAACTTAGCTTTTTCACTAAGTGCCACCCATCAGGGTGCTTTGCTCTCCTTTTAGTAAACTTTGTGCTTGTTTTACTCTTAACTCCTGATCTGGTGTCTTCAATCATCGACTACGCCAGAACACGAACTTGGGATCAATAATCCAGTATCACTTGGAAAAAAAAAAGTTGCCTGTAGTTTCAAGCTAATGTCTGATTTTGACACTAAGTCTTTTAAAATTATTGGTAATGGTGGGTGGATGAGGTAAAGATGCCCACTCTGGCTCCTGGAGTCCTTATACCATTTTACTAGCTGGTGGAGCTTGGCAAGAAGAGCTAAAACTCAGACATGATTGGGTCCTACACTTCAACCTGCAGAGTGAAGAGGGTCTGCAGAGCTTCTGTGAGTAGAGCCTGGGACCTGGCTGTCCACTAGCCAGGAGTTGCTGTTCTTTGAAGAATCAGTCTCTCTGGTTCCCTGGTGAACCCGCTCTGTTTAGCTCTCCTCTGTTGAGTTCATTACACTACTAGCACTTCTCTGGGGCTGAGTCCCTGCCCTTGAAAAGGAAACAGTCCCTGCCTGTTTTCCTTCTCTCCAAGGCTGGATTGCACCCTTAGTTTTTTCATGTGAGACTCAGCCTGACCTTGGACGAAGAGTTAGCTAAGGCATTGCTGCTGTAACTTCCCAGCTATAGCTGCTTTGCTTGTTTCCCAAAAGTTCATTCTTATACCAAACTTTTGCCCAACTCCCAGGCAGCTAAGAGCCTCTTCTGCCTCCTTTCATCTTACACAGCCTTAGAAATACTTATTTTTGTCTTCTGTGTCATGAGCCTAAAAGTTAAAATTTAACACACATCAGATTAAGATCCTATTTTAGCTTCTCTCCTGGGATTTTATTTTACCTATACCTGCTTCTTAAAGATGCTCGTTGCACTGCATTTGAAAATTTAAGCCATATTTGAATCAGAGAACAGATAATGCTCAACAATCATCCGATACTTACAGGAGGCAGCAGTGGACTACTGGCCTTGGTGAGTGGATGCATCAGATCTGCTCAGCAGAACAGTGGTAAGAGTGAATAGCAGTAGGTGGCTCTCTGGGGTGAATACATTAAAATTCCTCAGGTTTCTTTCTAACCTTGGTATAAGTTTCACCAGCATTGACTCCCTTTTTGCTGTCAGTATTTCTCTGCTCAAGGTAATTTATGCCCATCCCAATGGCTGGACCTAGATAGTCAAGCCAATATTTGGTACTTTGGTACCAAATATCAAGCTCACGTTCTTTACATGTTGGCTCAACGTTTACTGACGGCAAAGGCTGATGCTATGTGGGGAAGGCACAGAAGAAGCCTGGAGAAATCCGATAGGCTTTTCTTCCCTCTTCCAAAGTCTCTCAGCTCTGATCCCAAACTCACCCACTCTGCTTCCTATGGACAAGATCCACCTGCTTCTTGGACCCTCTCCCTAGAAGTTAGTCTGGTGACCATCAAGTCAACCTCTTCAGGGAAGTTTAACTTCTAACTACACACTCTACTTCCTTCTGAAGGTCAGGACTACTCCCTTTCCTGGTGGTGATTTGGCACCCAGAAATGCTGGGGCTTGGGCACCAGCCAGGTAAGCCCTTCCCTCCCTATTTCCTTGCGGCTTACAACATGCCTATATTTTATCAACAGTACAACTGCTTGTGCTAAGGGGCTTGTGTAGTTGTGGAAGTAAAAATGAAACGGGAACCCCTTTCACCCCAATCTCTGCCGCCTTAACTAAGCAAAAGCCTGGAGGTTTCCCATTTGCATCCTGTCGCCTCAAGAGTGATGAATCCCCACATCTTCAATTCTGTTTTCATTATCTCCAAACTAAAACTAGTCATGTTCTTGTTAGAATTTGTGTATATAAATTCATAAACTTCTGTGAAACATGATTCTGTTCTTTGTACTTAGAAACTTAATAAAAACAACGAAGGAGAGGGACACTGAACACAAACAGCTGTTTGACAAATCTTCTGCACTTAAAAAGGGTGTGGGACCCACAAAACCTTTATCAGCGAGCGTTCCACAATAATGATTTCAAAGGGGGAAAAGACAAGCTGGGTCTGTCAGAGAGAAATCTTCTCACAGTACGTTTTATTTGCCAAAACTTGGGCAACTGTAATGCCATAACTGTTTTTATAAGCTGTGTAACTCCTCAGCGCTTTCCCGATGGCCAGACAATCTGATTCCCAACCTTAATCCCGGCCCTGGTGCCCAGCCCCCGCCTGGTGGCGGTGGCGTTTCCTGCCCACAGCTCTGCGCGGCCGCAGGTGAGTCCCGCGCGCTCCCCGCTCTCGGGCCTGCGGGAGGGGCTGGAGCGAAGGCAGGGGACGGGCCCCGGAGTGTGTGTGTTGGGGCGGGGAGGGGGTGTGGAACACAGAGATCCGGGCCCGGGTTGCAGCTTGCTCACCGTGGAGCCGCATATCCAGCCACCTCCGCAGTCCTTGTCCTCGCGGGCTGCGGCGAGCGGTTCCTGGGCGTGCCTCCCGGAGGCGCTGAGCGTCCGCGGCGCGCCCCAGCCCTGCAGCTCGGCCCGGGCGGAGGCCGCCGGACCGCGGAGATGCGGGGCGGGGGCAGGGCGCGGGGTAGGTGACTTTATCCCGCCTCTGTTTCCCTGCCCGAAGGAGCAATGACATCACGCGGCCTTCTCCAGGAGCCGACACAAAGAGCGGCGTGGAGAGGCCGCTGCTGGGGGAGCCGGCGGCCGCTGCTGCCTCCCAGGACCTCGGGGCCTCGCCGGCCAGGCCCACCGCCCGCGGCCTGCGCCCTTCTTCCTCCTCCGCTACCACCACCGCCTCCGCGGTCGCCGCCGCCTGCGCCCTCCGCGCGCAGCTGAGCCCGCGCCGGGCCAAGCCGGCCCCTTCCCATGCGGGCGGCGCGGGCCCTGGGAGGGTCGCCCGGAGCCAGCCGCGCAGCATGCACTGGGGGGTTGGCTTTGCCTCGTCCAGGCCGTGCTTGGTGGATCTGAGCTGGAACCAGAGTGTCTCCTTCTTCGGCTGGTGGGCCGGGTCCGAGGAGCCCTTCTCTTTTTATGGGGACATCATCGCTTTCCCTTTGCAGGATTACGGTGGGATCATGGCAGGGCTGGGCTCCGATCCCTGGTGGAAGAAAACCCTTTACTTGACTGGGGGAGCTTTGCTGGCCGCAGCTGCGTATCTGCTCCACGAACTCCTGGTCATTAGGTGAGCCGGAGAAAGGGCCCCGCGCACTGGCGGCGAGAGGGGCACCTGGCTAGGGAGGGGCTGGCGCAAGGGGGTGGGGGTTGTCCCATGCCAGCCCCTCGGTCACGACATCCAAATGCCCAAGCGTCCTGCTCTTTCCTTCCCTCAAAGACATTTCGTGGTCACCTGTATGTGAGGGGCAGTTTAGAGTTGATGGGAGAATTAAACTGGTACTGACTAGGAGGGAAAAACATTTGTCTCTCACCGGTTCGTTGCTTTTAGCAAAGTGCTGTGTGTCATTAGTCGTTACGGAACAAAATGGCCTGTAAGAAACGTCCATAAGAAGATCCTAGGTGCAATCAATGCATTCGTAACAACAGAATTAGTCTTTGTAGAAAAACTAGTGGTTTATTGGCTGATAGGTAATAATGTTGAAATATTAGCTACTAATCTCATCTTTTCCTTAAAGGTTAGTGCTTCACTATCCCTCCCTAAATGTCAGACATCATCAAGAGGTTGCAGTAGCAAAAGCTCCCTCGGGTCCCTGTTAAAGATGAATGGCTAAATGAAGCAAACAGTTTTGATGCAGCCTTAACGTGGTTATCCACTCCTCTGATATTGAAGGCGAAGCACCTTGTGGCTTAAATGTCATTGTTATATGAGCAGTAGGAGATCTGAGGCAGGACTAGCACATGGGCGTGTTTGACATAACACAGAGTTCCCTGGGCAGTAAACAAAATTACTTCCACTGATGCCGCAGAATATTTGCTGGATTGACTTGAAAATTACAAAAAAAAAAAAGCAAACGGAGACCCCTTTCTATTGGTACAACTAGCCCATGTGAGATCTTTGGTGGAGCAGAATACTGACACAATCTTTGGTCAATTGGTACATCAGTTTTGGGTTAAAATGTCCATGCATTTGGGCCCTCAGTCATTGGATGATTATGGGAAGCAGGCCAGTTATCAGGAGCTCAGAATATCCCTTCTGGCCAGTATTTTCTGAAAAAAGGAGAAATGTCCACACCACTTTTTTCCAGGGGTACATCCTGCACAAGTGGTTATAACAAAAGACTGTGGCAGGTGACCCTTAACAGGATTGCAGTGATTCCAGGAGAGCATTGTGACAGCCTCACTCAGTCTTGAGTATTTCTTGTGCCTGAGAGGCTCAAATCATTTAGGCCTGGGAAAATGTGTCAGCTTTCATATTGTTTAGCTATGATCGAGGACTGAGAAGTTTATTTTAAGCTTGCTACACATTTAATTCTCTGACTTAGCTCAGTGCCTTGAATCTAGCTGAGCCAAATAGAAAATTTTAAAGTGAATTATCTCCCTAGATTATTCCATATTTGTGTTAGTTTTAGAATTCTATTTCAAGTTAGGTTTCAAGCCATATAAAGAACTAAAACATTTGTGCAGTGTTTTAGATTGAACCAGTTGTGTTTCAATTACATTCCTCTCCAAAGCCTTTGAGGATCCTGAATCATGTGGTTCTCAGCATTTCTCCCGTTTGTGGAGGGAGTGAAGGCTTCCCAAGGCTGAATGCAAGCATGACTTAAATGACCTTGCAGAAATATTGGGGTGCTTAGAGCTCACTTTGCATTCCCTGTCAGGGGTGAACCCTGACACTGGTGAGCCCTTTGCTCATAGCTAGCTCCTTCCCTAGTTAGTGGACCAAAATGCCCAGTATTAGAGTACTCACTTCATTAAGGAGTTTTAAATCCTGTGTTTGTTCACTTTTGCTTCTTCACAAGAAGAATTGGTAACACTATTGCAATACAGACAATGAAAAGGGGCTACCCATTCTTGAGCACTTAGTAGGGACTCTGTTTTGTATATGTGGCTGCCTTTAGCCCTAACAACTATTACTTTGAGACTTGATCTCCATTTTGTAGCACAACTTGCCTAACATCACACAGTAAGGAAGAGGAGTAGGATTCAGATTCAAGTGTGAGAATGTGTGTTCCACATGGAATCTGCACTTTTTTAACACTGCCTCCTGGAAAGTGCCCATTCTGAAATGTTTTGTTGGGGGAAGCAGAAGAGGAGTGTGGAAGACAGGCCTGTGGTGGAGGCCCAATGTTCTGCCACCTTCTAAGGGCAGAAGGATGGGGGAAAAAGAGACTGGAGGGTCGAAGACAGACTTCAGAGGTTATAAAATAGAGACTTCTGCTTAGTGCCCAGTGGCTCACACCTGTAATCCTAGCTACTCAGGAGGCAGAGATAGAAGAATCATGGTTCAAAGCCAGCTCAGGCAAATAGTTCAAGAGACCCTATCTCAAAAAAAAAAAAAAATCACAAAACAGGGCTGGTGGACTGGCTCAAGTGGTAAGAGTGCCTGCTACCAAAAAAAAAAAAAAAAGATAGAGACTTCTATATAAGGAGAAATCTAAGTTTCAGTTGTTTATGTAGTTGAGGCAAAAAACAAAACAAAATCTGAAATGTGTGGGATGGAAGATACACCCTAAAATGACCACCCTAAGTTGACTGGTAATTGCAAAATTCTCCCCATTCTCTTTGGACCTTCTGCTGCACACACTTGACCTTAATCTGTGGCTATGTATCTGGAATGGAAAATAAAGTTGATAAATAGAATTATTTAAGAAGTCTAATTCATGAGTAGAACCAAAGCAGATATTTTCGAGTTTTATTTGTGGGGGGCGGTGCTCAACTGGGATGATACTTTGGGTTTTATCCATTCTTTTTCCACTATCATATTTTAAAACATTGTATTTTTAGACATTCGTTATTGTAACCCTCTAATTTATTTTCCATGAATAGAGATAGTCTGACAGCTATCTTAAATTTAATCAGGCATTTGGAGATTTGTTGTTTGTAAATTGAATGATCAAGCAATGTCTTCATTACCAGTGGCTCATTTGCACTTTTGGCACTCCAACTCAGCCTGTCCTAGAAAACTTACTTTGTGAACCAGAGCAGCCCATGGCTCCACATCTGGTCTCCACAAACTAACAACTGACTCATCAGCCATGCACAGAAGGCCCAGTCATCTGTGATCTCAATAGCTAAGGGAGTAGGAACTAGTTGGTACTCTGCAAGTTTTATCATATTCCAACCTCATGGTAAGGGCATTTTATAAAATACAGCTGTATAGGCAGCAACCCACTGGATCCTCTGATCATAAACTAAAGAGGTTTCTGACTTGTGGAAGGAGGGCTCTGGAGCCAGATCATCTGGATTTGAATTCAGATTCTGTGTTTAACCAGCCATGTCCCTTGGATATGATAGTAAGCTCTTAATTGCTTAATTTTCTCACTGTAAAATGGGGATAGTAATAGTAGCCCTGCTCATAGAGTTGATTTAATGTGTTAAGACATGTGAAATGCTCAGAACAGAGTTTCTCATTTTGTGCGCATTCAGTCAAGATAGCCTTTACCAGCTATCATGGGCAAATGGTTTGAGACAAACTGGCTGCATTAAAAAAAAAATAATTGGGGAATTGCCTATTTTGGTGTCTCTGAAGTGCTTCAGAGCTTAGAAACTGGAGTTACAGACTCAATCTTAAATTGATGTGCCTTGGGCAAATTACTTAACTTCTCTGAACGTTAGTTTCCTTGTCTACTGAAAATATAATTGGGCATGACGCTCTAAATTTAAACTACAACAATATCTGCTCTATAGTGTTATTGTTAGAATTCAATAAGCTAATATGCAGGATGTGTATAAAGCCAATGGCATATAATTGGCACATAATTAGAATTCATTATGACTTGGCCCAGATTAGCCACCAGAATTAGATCTTTCTGGCCAGTGGGGCAGGAGAGTTTGTATTTGTCTCCTCTCCTTCCGGTTCTTAAAATCTTGCCTCACTAATTTACATGAAAATACCACTTTGTGATATGAATTATTGTATTGTACATAATCAGTTAGTTAAATTGTGAAGTCTACAGCTCATCCCGTCTATAAATGTAGTCTGAGTGGGTTCTTTTTAAACATTTTTATTAGCATGCAATAGTTGTACAGGGAGTTTTGTTGTGACATTTTCATATATGCATACAGTGTACCCTAGTTTGGTTCATCCCTTCCAATTCTCCCTCTTCCCTCTCCCCCTCTGAGTGGGTTCTTGATTTTAATATCTGATCTACCACACTTCATCTAAAGGAAAGCTTTTATTTTTAGCAAAGATTGACAGGAAAAAAGCAAATATTTTTGCCCTTTGGACTTGAGCAGTATCTTTAGAATGAGCCACTCTGAGCTGTTTAAGTCGAATTGGTTTTGGGTGGTAAAAATCTCCAAGAGATTTTGCTTTACAGAATGGAGGTTCTGAAGTGAGTATCTATGTAGTGATGATAAAAAGTTTGTCTTTGATCAAGTAGAAATAGATGTATAATTAAACTAGGATCTATGGGAGGAAACCAAAAGTTTAGGAAGGGTCAGTAGAAAAGTGAAATTTATCTGACTGGAGCATAGCTAGGCAGAGTGAAAGATGGAAATTGGGAAAGGTTCCTAAGGGGCAGTATATGATTGGGGCATGTGGAGTGGGGAGATTTTGTAGCTTAAGGGAATGAGACCATATCTCTGGATGAGAATAAATTCCACTACTCTTATGTAATGCTTGGCAGCTCATTAAATGTTTGAGATATTGCCTAATGTAATCCACATGATAATAAATACAGAATTTGTACCGCCCTGACTCTCTGGGTGAAGGGAGGTAGAGAGATCTGGAGTGAGTTGGCCTGCAGGAAGCAGGGCTTATACTTGATCCCAAGTTTCCATACTTGGAATGCAGTATTTGTTCTACTGTGTGGTCAAAGAAAAAGGACACATGCCTTAGACAAAAAGGAGAAAAGCAGGATTACTAAAAACATATGGGAGTAGCCTCTGAAGGCAGAGAAGGGGAGGTAAGGGCACAGGCAGCTTAGAAGAGGGACCCGAGTGTTCAAAGTCTCAGATTCCCTGTAGATTTGGGTCATGGCACAGCAGATCTGCACTGTTAGTCCTGAGCCTTAATGATGGAGAATGTTTCACTTATAATCTAATGGCCAGGTGCATAGGCTCTGACAACCTGGTTCAGTCTAGATTCTGCTGTCTAGATTTACTAGTAACGTGTGACATTGGGCAGATTATCCTCTGTGCTCCAGTATCTTCATCTGTAAACCATGTGTGATAGTAGCACCTACTTTCTAAGGTTATTGTGCAGATTGAATGAGATAATACCTGTGAAACCCTCAGAACCAGGTGTGACACATAGTAAGCACAAAATACCATTTTTATCCATCCAACTTGTTCCTGGCAGGTAGAGATACAGCCTGCTAGAGAAGTGGTGGACCTGTTTCAGGAAATAGTCTTCCTGCCTGTAGGCTATAGTTAACAGAAGCAGGCTGATTTTTAGTTACTTTTCTGAGCCATTGGGGATATGCTGGTGTCAGAGTTTGTAAGGTCCTTTTGTGTTTTGATTAAATTTCCGTTCTTTAAGTACTGGGTGAGGTAAGTCTGGTAAGCCTTCTGACAAACATTTCTGCTTATTCACTGAGGACTGCAACCTCTCAAGACTTAAAGGAACAGAAGATACAACATGCAGATTGTTCTTTATTTATGTTTTGGTTTTGACAGGAAACAGCAAGAGCTTGACTCCAAAGATGCCATTATTTTGCATCAGTTTGCAAGACCTAACAATGGTGTTCCCAGTTTATCTCCTTTCTGTTTGAAAATGGAAACCTATTTAAGGATGGCTGACTTACCCTATCAGGTATTTGTTTACAAATATGTTTTATTCTTATGACATCAATATCAGTTAGAGGGGGAAATATTTAATGTCACATAAGTGGATGTCAGAGAAGGTGACATCTGAACGTAGCAGTGCCCAGGTCTTAGTAAGATAGAGACTTGATTCCAAAACTCTGGGCCTACTGCTTGCTGGGCGAGTGCTCTATCAGTTGAACCATGTCCCCAATCCCTGTTGATTTGTTAGGTCCATTTTAATGGTGGGTCATAAGACTTTTGAGGGAATCAGGGCTATAATATTTTCCGTCAACATAGAATATACTTTGATAGTTTGGGTAGGCTATTGATAAGAGTGACAGTGCCACTGCCTGGTGGGTTTTTTTCCTTAGGTTTTCATTTATTGACAGCATTAAGTTTTATTCTTCATGAATCTGGGCTTAGAGGGCCCAGTAGGCACCAGGTAGGTTTTTGTCTATATTGTGAGCTTTTCCATGTTCTGTTCAAGTGGCTTTAAGGGAAGCACTTACTCATTTCAGCATTAAAAAAGGAACAGAAGAATGTATTTAAGGGTATCCATTTTCCTCTGAGGAATGCTTGAGCACAAATATGACACGCTGTGTTTTCAATGTCATTTAATTCTAGATATTTTTAAAGATTTCCTTTGTGCTTTTCTGTTTTAACCAAATTCTAGCCTTATGGATTATTTTCTTTCTTTCTTTTGTGGATTTTTTTTAAGCTTTGATTTTTGTGTTTGTAATTTTATGGTCAGAGAAGATAGTCTCTGTGATATTGATTCCTTGGAATTTACTGAGGTGTTAGCCTCAGTAAAATGGTTAAAATAATTAAATGATAACATCTGTGAGTATAGAGTACAAAGCTCTTTATATATCTACATGCTTGGACATGTTTAGTGCATTAGTTAGACCTGTATTTCTGCTGTTTTTTTGGAGGGGGGGGCGTTCTGCTTGTTTTACTAATTTCTGAAAGGAGTAATTAAAGATATTCAAGTGTATTTGTTGATTTATTTCCTGTCCTTCTATTAGCTCTTACTTCATATAATATTAATTATATACCTGAGGTTATATTGTTGGATAAATATAATATGAAAGAGCCCATCTTCTACTACTTTGTTTCTTCTTCCAATATATATTTTCCATCATTGTCTTTTATGATTATTTTAAATTTTGAATTCTGAAATGTCAGATATTAATATGGATTCTCCAGCTTTACTTTTTTTAAGACTTTTTATTGTACTAGGGGTACATGGTGACATTTACACAAGCTGTTATAGGATATCATAGTTGAATTCACCGCTTCCATCATTCTTCTTGGTCCCCCCACCCCCTCCACCTTTCTTTTGGTTCATATTTGCTTGGGATATCTTCTCCATCTCTTTCTCTATCTTTTTGTGTATTTGTTTCTCATAAGCAATGTATTATTATGTTGAATCTGAGTGTCTTTTAATTGGTGAGTTTTACCCATTTATATTTGTAATGATTGTAGTATTAGGGCTTATTTTTAACATCTTATTTAATATTTTTGTCCTTACTATGCCTTCATTTCTTCCCTCAGTTCTTGCTTTCTAACAGACAGAGAAACATTTTTTCTTATCATTTCTTATCACAAGTTCTTATTTTCTTTTTTTGGTAATTGCTCTTAAGTCCCAAATTTGTGTTTGTTTTTTTGTATTCATTTGTTAAATTATTGACGTCTGTATTTGCCCTTCAGTAATACAAACACATTAGCAGTTCTTATGTACTTTGGATCTCTCCCTTTCTTCCCTGCCTTTATCCCAGTTGTGTTGCTATCATTTGGCATTTTAATTCTGGAATTTTGTAATCTTTTCCATTTTGGTTTGTTCTTCATAGATAACAAACTTTTCTAAGTTATTTGACTAGCCTTATTTCCATATATCTTATCCTACAGGATTTATTTATCTTTTTATTTGAGTAATTCTTTGATGAATATTTTCAGAGTAAACCTTTATCGTGGCAAACCTTTGGTACTTTGCATGCCTAGGAATACCTTTAGCAGAGCCTTAACGTTTGATAAGTCTGTGTTCATAGTTCTTTTCCTTCTGTGGTTTTTTTTATGTCTTTTTTACATTGGTGTTGCTATTGAGAAACTTGACCTTAATCTCACATTTCTTCTTTTCCTTTCTAAATTCTTTTAGAATTGGCTTTTAATAATGTTTTGTGGGACAACCTCTCTTGGGATTCCCTCCCAACTTTCTATCTCAATAAACTCACTTTACTGAAAAAAAATCTTTTGTGTGTGTGTGTGTTACTGGGTTTGAACTCAGACCCTTGTGCCACATCCCCAGCCCTTTTTTCCTCCAACTATATTTAAGGTAGGGTCTTGAATTTTTTTGGTCAGGGCCTTGAAGCCTGATTCCCCTACCTAGGCCTTCAACATGGCTGGGATCACAGGGGTGTGCTACCACGCCCACCTTTTTTTGTTTAATTTTTTGAGGCAGGTTCTCACATTGTAGCCTCAGTCCTCTTACCTTATCTTCTCACATACGTGCCACCACAACAAGCTTAATCTTCATATTCTTGAGTTTCACTATACTGTGCCTTACATTGGTCTTTATATATCCTCATTAGTTCTTTATAACCTCTTTTTATCTGGGGTCCTCCATTTCTCTTTTAGTTCTGGGAAAATTAATGACTAATTTTCTTAAAATGTGTCCTTTTCTTTTATATTTATTTACTTCCCCCTCTTCTTTCCTGTTCCCTATTATCTAGATATTAGAACCTCTGCTTTTACTTTCCTTATTGCCTTGTTCTATCTTTCACTTCTCTGCTTCCTGTCTCTGAGTTTCCATTGTACTTCTTTGTCCTATTTTTGCATTCATCATGTTATTTATCTCATCTGTTGTGTTCTTTATTTCAACTTTTGTCTTTTTTTCTTAATATTGCTCCATAGTTAGCATTCCTAATCTCCTCCTCCATCTCTTGGAGGATATCCGTTATACTAATTAAAAGTTTTTGGGGTGTCCCAATAACTGCTTCACATTGCACATGTTCAGTGTGTTACCTTTTTCTTGTGGTACTTGTGCTCCTCAGTGTCTAGTTGTTTGGGTTGAGAGCTCCTTTTTGCAGAGATCCCAGCTTCCCTGCCTGGGGAATTTATACTGAGCAAGGGTGAAAGCCTTGGCTATGATTTGTGTGCCTGAGAGGGAGTAGTCAGGAAAGAGAAGAGGTGAGCTCCAGATAGCATCCAAACACTGTGATGCATCCTTTCAGTTTGCTGGCACTCCTCCTGGGTTTACTTTAGGCTCTTACAAAGGAGCAGCTTTGGGAGGAGGCAGCCTCCTCAGGTTGTAACAGACCAGCTGGTGGGCTGTATCCCCTCCAATACCTGACTCCATGTAGCCTCTGCTTTCTGAGCCAGGGTGGAAGAGGGGATGGGGCTGGCAGTGCTGGGACAAAGTGATAGACAGATACACTTTCAACTTGGTAAGTGCAGGCTATATGGAGGGGGGAGCACTGAATCTGGACTTCCAGTGGGGAGATCCAGGAGGACATGGAATGTTTGGGAATAGACAGGGAGTCTTTGTGACTAGACTGGAATGTAAGGGGTGGATCTGGAGAGAGAAGCAAGGAGGAGAGTGTGCAATGTAGCTAAACCAGCAGTGGAGAAGGTAACAGTGAAAACAGACAAAGCTTGACTCATCTAAATGCATTGAGTCAGATTTAGAAGGTGATTGTTTAGCTTGGTGTTGGCAGCCATCACTGAAAGATGTGTGTCCCTGAGGTACTTAAATTAGAGGAAGAGATTATACCCAGCAGCCCCCTGTCCATTCCATCATCACTCTCACCTAGATCACTTCACTTAGTCATGACAGCCTTGGGACAATTAGGGTCCAAAACCTGGACTTTGTGCTTGACCATGAGTGGCTGCTTTCAAGATCTTGGGTGCTCTCCCACCCTTGATGAAATAATCTGCTGTTTGTGTGACTCCAGGGCTTTCTGCCCTTTCCTTTCTTTCCTGTAAGCTGCCAGTTGCTCTGTGATACCGACTTGTCTTTACCTGCAGCCTAAGTACCATTGCTCTTTGCCAGAGCAGCTGCTGTTAGTGACATAAGTGGGACCATAGGACTCATGCTCCTTGTGAAGTTGGAAATCTACTACACAGTGAGAAGGGGCATGCATACCCCTTCTAAAACTGTTTCCTCTTAAGTATGCTTTTTTTTTTTGTGGGATTGAGGTTTGAACTCAGTGCTTTGTGCTTAACAAGCAGGCACTCTACTGCTTGAGCCATGCCTCCAGTCCAAAATTATTATTATTTTTTTTTGGTGGCACTGGGGTTTGAATTCAGGACCTCACACTTGCTAGGCAGGGGCTCTTACTGCTTAACTCACTCTGCCAGCCTTTAAGTATACTTTAAAAAAATAAAAGAATCATATAGGGTTGTTTTTGTCTTCTGTGAGATCTCTAACTGGAAAATAAATGGAAAGTATATTCATGGGTTTTCAAAGCCTAAGTCAAAGGAAAATGGTTCTGTGGTGCAAAAAGCAATGCTCTATGCTGGCTGAGGTTGTCCTGAGTACTATGCATTGGCAGCACATAGTTTTTTTTTTAATTCATATGTGCATACAATGTTTGGGTCATTTCTCTTCCTCCCCCCACCCCCTCCCTCTGCCCCCCACCCCCTCGCTACCTGGCAGAAACTATTTTGCCCTTATCTCTAATTTTGTTGAAGAGAGAGTATAAGCAATAATAGGAAGGAATAAGGGTTTTTGCTAGTTGAGATAAGGATAGTTATACATGGAGTTGACTCACATTGATTTCCTGTGCGTGTGTGTTACCTTCTAGGTTAATTCTTCTTGATCTAACCTTTTCTCTAGTTCCTGGTCCCCTTCTCCTATTTGCCTCAGTTGCTTTAAAGTATCTGCTTTAGTTTCTCTGTGTTGAGGGCAACAAATGCTATCTAGTTTTTTAGGTGTCTTACCTATCCTCATACCTTCCTTGTGTGTTCTCGCTTTATCATGTGATCAAAGTCCAATCCCCTTGTTGTATT